CTTGCTTGTGAAATTTTTGTACAGGTCACGAAGAATCTTTATGTACTGAGTAAGGTCTCCTTGACTACGAAGAGCTTTTCCATGACTGCTTCTATTTCATTTGAGTCAAATCTCTCTTTTAAATGGATGAAGGTGAGACAGAGCGGTCTTTTGTACTCTCGCGATGCTTCAATGAGTCTTCTTATCGTGTGGATGTGGTCCATCGTACTAAATCCTTTTCGCAACTCTGCTTGCTTACCTAGCTGCCCTTCGTGCAGTGTTCTGTCAGTGCTGTTTAGGACAACTTTCGTAGTAACCCGCAATTCCAGAATACCCACTCTCATGAAAGTTTCCCAGTAGAGAGTACCATAACGAAACCGACCACATCATGGTAAATCATAGTAAATCGAAGGTTTTGCCTTACCGATGTCGCTGTTGTCTTGAAATTGTGCACGGGATCAGACCATCGCCTCTTTCGCGCAAGATTTCTTTTTTTAGCGGAAAGGAGAAAAAGCCGCTAAATCCAAAAAACGAAGTCCGAAAACCTGCATAAACTGCGACTTATTATTCAATTCACTAGTCGGCTGTTCGGAAGATGTCGGGCTGTGGAAAACATTCGCAAAACGCACGAAGCGTCGCCAATTAAATGACCAGGATGATTGCACTCCGACGCCGAGATAGAATAGTTACAGTGTCCAGAAAGGCAATGGAGAAAATCATTCATGACTACTACTCAGGTGTTTAGCTTTTTGATACCCACATGTAGCTTGTTGAGTTCTGGACGTGGGAGCTAGATATACTCACGTGTATCTCGTCAGTTTCTCCCAGAGTGGACATGGAGCTTATTTGTTGGAGGTGACTCCTAGCCGCCTCCCATATGCTTCCCTGTCACTTGATTGCAGGCTTTTGGTTGAATTGACTAGTAGAATGCAAACGGCATATACGAAAACACACCCACGCACTTGTGCATCAGTGCGCCTCGTGAATACAGAAAGTATTTGCCGAATTGGCATGGCAGAAACAGGAAGTGCATCCCTTGGATCCACCTGCGCCTTAGGGAAGCAAAAGTCGTTTTTGGTCCCCGATTATTCTGCGATCCGTCACCTGTGAACGCGCCATGTAGCCTCGCGGCTAACTGGCTCGACATCCCTCATATGAGGGAGATCCATGGTGTGTGATATTAGATGGGATAATTAAAGCTTAGACAATTCAATGTTTTTCATCAATAAGCAGACACGAGGTTGTTAATATAGAATTTATTAGAACACAATTGCTGACGTTTCGGCGGTTTCGCCTTCTTCAGAGCCTGGAAAGGTTAAATTGAGATGTGATCTACTCAGCCAAACACTTTCACAACCCTAGCAGATAAACTTGACAATTCGATTTGCATTCGCATAAGAAACAGCTTCATTCAAACACCTACCGTTTATTTGTTGTAAGTATTTAAGTTAGTTGGTGGATAGCCGCCGCACAGAGTAATACATGGGCGATAACTGTGTCCATGTCAGGTCATTGGATCAGCCTGAGGTATGGCGCCAGGTCACGCATGATGACAAGGCACTCCTCCTTGCGGTTCACTTTTGAATTTTTTAAATTGATCCAAAACGCTTCAAGAGTTTTACGCGCTGATGTTTTTGATTCCTGCGTAAGGATAGTGACTCCTACCTCAAAA